TATGCCTTCGACAATCGACATAACAGTGCTGCTTGAATACACAAATTAATATTCATAGTTTCAAAACATTTATGCCATAGTTTTAAACGGTATGAAAAATATGTATGTAAAATAAATAGTGAGAAATCATAAAGTCAGCGTATTTATGCTATTTTTTTAAACTTAAAAAAAATTCAAATTAAATTGTAAGAAATAATTAACTTCCCGAAGAAGTTGATGTTTTCATCAAAATATCAGATTCGCTAATTTTATGTTTTCTCGACGTTTTAAGCCATTCTGAATCCAATGAGACCAACATTCGAAAAAGTATGTGTGTGTGTGCGTGTATGTGAACAGATTTTTTAGCGTGAATCGAGGTTTTTTCAAAAACGACTGGACCGATTACAAAAATTTAAAAGCCATTCGATGTATCTCTATGAGGACTAGCGTTTATCAATTTTGCGCGACGATCAGCCAAGCCGGTTCCTTGTAAATATCAGGAAAGTGAAAAATTTTTCGTCCACGTTTCAGCCCGCAATTTTGAATTGATTTTGTTCGAAAGATATTGGTTGGGAATCGATTTGATTAGTTGTTGGTGAAGATCGGCCGGGCCGTTTTCTTGTAATAAAGTGTTAAGAACTTTTTTTTTTAACGATTTTCATAATTTTTTCTTTGGTGATGGATATCATAGTCTTCTAGATCATACTAAAATATTACGGCCCTACGACAAGTCGTTTTATTTCAAAAATTCTTCAAAGTTTGCAAAAATTGGTCTCGTTTTATTGGCATTTGCCAAGACCTTTCATCGACGTTTGCTCAAAAACGCCTGAACTGATTTCAGAAATTTAAAAGCCTTTTGATGTATCTCAATGCATGATGCCAAGCCGTTTCTTTGTAATTTGGAAAAAAAAATGTTAAACTTTTCGTCCACATTTAAGCTCATACTACCGAATCGATTTTAAAATATCACAAACTGTTCGAACAGTATAATAAAACGCTATTTATCGGATTAGATCATCAGATATTCTATAGAGATTTTAATAATAATATCAAATTTTGTTTACATGTCTATGTGTTCCGTACCAATGTTTATCCGTTAAACTGCGACCCGGCGCTTACGCGCGTCTATATTTCGTCTCTACTAGGCTAGGAAAAATTTTAAATTATATTTTTACAAATTCTATCCTTTCTAAAATAATGACGAGTAATATCTTAACAAACAAAATATATTAATTGCTTAATCAATTATAATGACAATTGTTTAATCAATGAAGTACTTATTAATTACTTTCATAGACAACTATTCATAAAATAAATTTAATAAAATAAGTCCAATCTTTAATTTGATATGTAGAGATCATCTACAATAATTATAGTAGGTTATATGTTGACTATCTACATCTTATGAACATAAATTTGTATGCAATATTAATATTATTATAATTTAAATATTGTGTGGCAATGACTTCAGTGAATGAGCTTAGGTAAACTTTCATTATATTATAATACAAACCAGAACATTATTATGGACAGTTTATTTCTTTCACTAGATAGGAAGAATTTTTATGAAAATTGATCATCAGATTTCCAAATCTAAGTTTATTTTTAAGTTTTGTTTTAGTAGAGCTACTTGATGAAAAGTGCTTTGCTTTATGCTGGGTAATATTTTTTATTTTCATATAATTACAACCTGCCTAATAAGGCATTCAGTAATTTTGGTGACAAATATGTAAAAATAAGATTTTAAAATTCCAGGTAGTCATTTTGGAAATGGATAACATAAAATTACAGAACTGTAATAATACCATTACATTATGTTATTTTACACATTTATAGGGTTATTTCTTTTGAGTCTTCTGAGTATATTTGATGAAAGCAAGTCTTTGGCGAGTTGGTTCGGATGATCTTCTAGTCTGGTTTTGTACCTAGATGAATTCCTTCTGATTTCTTCTGCTACCATGCTCACATTGGAGTCCTGATGGATCAGACAATTAGGGACACACTTGGGCGCCTCTAGTATTTTTTTTCCAATTTTATTTTGTGATCTTTGCAAAATGTTTAAATTAGTTTGGCTAAAAGTTGGCTTATGTAGAGTTGTATTAAATATTGTTTATATAATAGGGGATAATACCATTCTCATTTTTTTGGTAAGATTTGGTTTGTATGAAATCATTATTATACTTTGTAGACTCTTTAAATGATGTTTATAAAACCTCTGAATAAAAAGATATGTTCTACTTCATATAATTTTTTCATATGCCCGCTATTTCTCTTGAAAAGAAGCTATGCCTTACATAATACAAATCGATCAAATCGTTAAAAAAATATTATTACGCGATTCAAAAAAGAGAACAGACCCACTCGTAATCAACAACAAATCCATAAGTATCAATACACTTGGAAATCAGTCAGCGTTCAGAAGTGCAATTAGAGCGAATACCAAAAAAGAAGTTAAACTCGTCGGAGTTCACAATAAATGCAATCATTGCTTACGGCTCGGTGGTCGTTCGAGTGTAAATATTATTGTACAAACACAAAGCTACCAAACGACCAAACACAATGAATCGGAGGCGCCCTTAAAAGCCTCCACGACGACGGAGCAAATGTTAAATTTCTAACACGACGGGCACAGCTTGAGACGCGATTCACGATTCATGATTATTTTATATTTATATTTTTATATTAATGACTCATGGGGTAACAAGAAAAATTCTTAAGCTTAATTTGGTTATTTATTAAATTCATATATAAAAACAACAAGAACACTGTCAGATCTATTAGTAGAATATAATACCTAACTTTCAACATGTTTAACTTCCCGCGCGGTAAGCTATTGCCATCGTCCAAAAATCAAAAATAAAAATATTTGCATATCTTCATGTTTTAGAGGTTTCTAAACATTTTGGCGTACCTCAAAAAAAATTGATGTGCCTGTATGTGTGGGTGTGTTTATGTAAGTGGGAATAAAATTTTTCATCGACATTTTCGGTAATACCGCTCAACCGATTTGAATAATTCAAAAAGCAATCGATTGCTTTCTGAAATGCTGATCCAGCAGTTTCCGAGATACCAAGCAAAGAGTGCAAAAAATAGAAATAAAGTTTTTGAAAGAACAGGGCATCCGATTTGAATGATTCAAAGCACATTCAATTCGCATTGATGACAAGAAGAGGTGATTAGTTTTTGGCAAAGACAGGCCCAGACTTTTCAGACATAATGTGTTAAACGTGTAAAAAATGAGTTTTTGAGAGTACAAAGCATAGGATTCGAATGATTCAAAATATATTTTGCTTGTGAAGAAACGATTACTTTTTGCGAAAGCAAAAAAAAATTTTTTTCAAAATTCTAAATTTATTAACACTTATATACTTCAATAATAAAAGTTGCAGCTTTTATAATAATCCATTTTAAAGAATTTAATTTTTCTCGAATATTTCAAGACGGACACGGAAAGTTTCAGCAATTTGCTTTATGGCACTATGACATGCACTACTAGTTTTTTTTTTTTTGAACAGTAATCGAACTTAAGAGTCTTTAACTTTGACCTTTAATCTGTTGTGCTGATTTGACTTAATACTAACCGGTTCTACAGGTGGCAACCCAAACAATTGTCCTATCTCAGTGCGATGAATTAATGCAATTTCTGTAATAGACCAAGTATTTTACTCCGAATTACTCCGAAATTAAAACGTTAACAAATATATTATTTTAATATGATGATGTGTTGATATAACGCAAATTTTTATATAATAATGTGCCTATTCCCATGAAATTAGATATACTACTACTATAGAGCAAACGCCGCAGGCTAGTAACGTTATTTCAGTCACGTGGCGCGTCGGTATTGTGTCATATTTTCATTTGATATTATTATATTCAACAAGTCAAATGTGAAAATTAATATTTATTTCTTCATGTAATAATGTCGTATTGTGATATTTGCACGTTATTATTATTATTATTATTATTATTGTTATTAGTGTAAGGCATTGCTAGTATTGCTTCAACTTCATTGCATCATATCAATAAGTAATCTGATTCATATACAATTTGTTCATATTTAAATTACTTCAGAATATGTGTATTTAAAAAATCAATTATATATATATATATATATATATATATATAATTATAAGTGATTTTTTAAATACACATATTCTGAAGTAATTTAAAAATGAACAAATTGTATATGAATCAGATTAGTATACCAATAGTATAACAAGTTTTTGTTGGGCCGTATAATGCTAAAAACTTTTGCAGATAATACAAATTTGTTAGTTTCAACCTATAGTTTAAATATTATACATTATTGGTAATTAAAATTAAAGTTAATTAAAATAAATAAATAAATAAATTGATTGAAAACAGAATATAGCGCCTAATCATACAAGATACATTTTGTGAAAGAATTTATTCCGAACTTCGATGAATTTTTATAATTCAACCACTTGTAGGCAATCATTAACTATATTTTAGCAAACTTTCATGAAAATGATTAAAAAAATTTTAACAATTAAATAGGAAGACACCGCTCGGCCAATCTTAACCAATAACTCATTAGTACGATTCCTGATATTTTTAACAGCTTTTAAATCTTCAAAATTGATTCCAGATTTCGAGCATAAACGTGGACAAAATATTTTGAATTTTTCTGATAATACTCGGTCAAATTTTGATCTACAATCGCACACATACGCATAGGTATCTGCTCGACTTGAATGTCAAACCATTCAGAATGACTTAGAACGTCGAGAAAAGATAAAATTAGAGAATTGTGTTTTCTAGCTAAAAACTTAACTTCTCCTTCCTAGCGAATAAATGAACATGCTAAAATATTATAGGCCTACGACAAGTGATTTAATTATAAAAAATCATTGTTTGAAATAGTGGGCTAGGTTTTCAGAAAATACACCTTGTATGATTAAAATAGTATCTAAATACTATTCTAAATTTGTAGGTATAAATATATATTCGTTATTAAATTCTATATGGTTTTTTAATTTCAGGTGTGGATACAATTTAGGTGTGAGGAGATATGGGATTTCAATGATTGGTAAGTTTCTTTATAATCAATCATTTTTATCATTATTTATATAAGGTGTGTTGAAAATACCTCCGTACACAAATTTCTGACACAGAGGAAACAATTCTCGAATAATATAGAAATATTCTGATATAACTATGTTTAGAGTCTATATTCGTTGATAGGACTTTCAGCTATGTATTTGCTGTGCGAACAGGCGTTTTACGCATGAAACCTAACCGCAACTTTTTGATGACTTTTTGACACGTAAAGTTATATTTAAGTATTTTAATAATAATTTAATTCGGCTTTTATTTTGACAGACGACATACCCTAAAATCACATATTAAAAAAACGATTACATCTTGAAGAGGATTTCAGAAAACTACATTGTCTGTTGCGTCCAAAGTCCAATATAACATCTTACAATAAGATTCTGGTATACAATATCGTCTTGAAACCAAGCGCAAGTAAAATTAACACACTTTGTGCGGGCCGGGTACTGGTACTCGATATTAGGACTATCAGTTTACTGCGGGTGCGGGTATTTATACATAAACATTTTGCAAAGGTCACAAAATAATTTTTTAAAAAAAATATTAAAAGAACCTAAGTATGTCCTGAATTGACTCATCCACCAAGATCCCAATATATAGATAGAATAACATAGAAAATCGGAAGACTTGCATCCAAGTACAAGATAAGACTAGAAAACCATTCGAATCAACTTACGAAAGACTTGCTTTTTTTCAAACATTTCCAGAAAACTTAAATGAATAAACTTGTTACATTTAGTTAGCATGGTTAATATGTGATTTAGATTTATTAGTTTTTCTGTATCTTCTTTCCAACCATTTTGCTAATTTACAGTGACTTTTAAAATAGTATCTTATACATTTGTCAATAAAATTACTGAATGTTTTTTCAGGCAGTTTGCAATTATAAAAAAGTAAAACAAATATTTCTAATTAATGCTGAGAATGAAGATATTTCTACCAAACTCATTTTTTATTTATAAAACATTTACACCCGCTGTGATATCAAAAATATTTACACTATATTGCTCACTGATTTTATTTATTTAATGTTGCTCGCTGAATTGTGCAAAGTTATTTTGTGTCTTTAATGAGCTCACACCCGTGGAGTGCCGGATGTTCAATTGTTATTGTCCATCCAGACATTGGTGGGAGAGTCGGCAAAAGCCTGATTTGAAATTTCAATGTGTCGCGTATGTTTATTCGGACACGGCGACACGAAAGAAATCAGATTATTCCGTTTCGATGCCTCCGAAAAACCCACACAATCGAGCCCTTATTAAACACATTCGCCCTTCAAGAGTCGTTAGTTACTTAATCAGGGCGCGAGCGTCAGTTCACTATTGTACCAACTACCTACTATCAGAGTTTTGTTAGTCCGACGAGTTTCAATATGTTTAAAGTTGGCGGCAACATGGCCGCGGGCCAAAAACCGGCGAGGATTAAGTTGTGTTAAACATTAGTTGTGAATTGTACGAGTTAAACCCTCGAATTTTATGAGGTCGAAATGTACATGATGATTCTTGGGAATCGAGGGTTCCTTATCATCAACAAAGGCTAAAAAACAATTACCACAATATAAAATTAGCATACCATTGAATACCATAAATTTTAATATAGTTAAATACAGAATGATAGATTAAGATAACTGAAGGAAATATCCACATCTAATTCTTTCAGCGTCTCTACAATTGCAAGCAATTTTAACAATGTTTTTCGAAAGCTTTTGATTTTGATGTTGATGGTCGCTACATAATAACCGACCTACCCCAAGGCACAAAGGTTCAATTTGACTTTGTAATAGATTTGGTAGTAATTAAACTGTTTAAGAAAATGAACTATATCACATACATAACACGTATCAAAAAATCAAATATAGAACTATATTCAGTAAAATTCACAGTTACTTCCTAATTATAGAAATGTTTTTTTGCTACTTTTCTTTGAAATTGTCGTCTGGTCCTTTTTGGCCAGCCAGGTGGAAAAAAAATCTAATGTTTTATTTTCAATTTCAAAGGAATATTATCGTACCAAATGATAGCTACATTATTCCACTAATGCGAAACACAGATTATGATTATCACCTATAATTCATAGGTGATTTTTTTACAAAGATTACACTGTGCATAACCTTGATCTGGCATTTATCAGCAATTTCTTTGTAAATCAGTAGAAATAACTATAAGTTTTAATTATAACTAGTAATACCCTTTTCTAACTTAATTTACTTTTTTAACTTCCCGTAGAGCAAGTTATAATAATCGCAAAAAAGACGAAAATCAAAATGTTTATATATCTTATCTTAAGGAATATTATCATATCCAATGATAAATTTATTATTCCGCCAATGCGAAACACAGATTTCATAAGTGAATTTTTTACAAAGATCACACTGTACATAACCTTGATCTGGCATTTCATTAGCAATTTCTTTGTAAATCAGTAAAGTAGATATAACTACTAGTTTAATTTATCACTAGTAATACCCTTTTCTAACTTAATTTACTTTAACTTCCCGTAGAGCAAGTTTTATAATAATCGCAAAAAAAAACAAAAATCAAAATGTTTATATATCTTCACGTTTCAAAGGTTTCTGAACATTTTGGCATACTTTAGAAAAACAATTTTGTGAACACAAGTCAACCGATTTGAATAACTCCAAAAACATTCGATTCGTTTTGCCGGGGAGACATGCTGGTTCGCGCTTGGAAAAGGCAGTTGCAGCCGTTTGGAAAATACAGTTAATATAAAACCTTTTTTCAGTTTTTAAAATAATTTAAAGCTTTAATAAAAATTTAAAATTAATTTTCAAATACGAGAGGATCCAGCAATTTTCCTTAAGGTACGATGCCATGCACTACTCGTTTCCTTCTCGTTTACATTTTGCAATATTGTCAGTTTTAAGGTTTAGTTGGTCTTTTTCACCACGCCCAACATATAAGCTTTTATTGAGGTTATATAAAAAATCTGCGGAATCTAATTTAAAAATAACAATACATCTTGTAAAACAATCATTTTGTAATCATAATAGTATACTCAAGTATCCTAAACTAAATTAAAGAGCTCAAAACCGAAAAAACTACAAACGAGAAAAAATACTTTTGTTATGAATTCATTCATGGCCGTTTATCTCCTAATAGAATCGCCGTAAAAGTTAAGTGTATGGTTCGTTGTACTTCTTTTGCCTTCTACTTTAAAATAATAGCGTTAAAAAAATCTATACTTTACTTGTTTTTGAAATAATGGCGTGGGACCTTTTTACCCGCGGACTTTGGGACTTCGATCTACCCTATTACAAATAAAGATTATTAGAGAGTCGTGGCGCCTTTGTAAAATTAAATTTTTTAAACCCAAAGGTTCTGAGTTCAAATCTTGCTTGGCATGTAACCCAATATCAAGCAGTAGTGATACTGATTCTCACTTGAACAATTGAATCAAAATTATGTTTTTCAAGTGCAAATATTATTTCTTGATATTACGGCAAGAGTTTAAAATATCATTGCCATCAAAAAAGGACCACCATTGGGTTGTTTCATAATAAAAGTATATAATAATCAGACTAACAATAAGATAATAATCTAGATAATCATTGGGCTTTTCTAACAGCATTCTAATTAGTAAAAATGTTAAACAAAATATAATCGAAGCATTGTCCAAAAAAATTATAAACATTTTTTGACATATTTTTACAAAGTTATCTTGAAAGATTTTTATTTTATTTTTAATAAATATAGAGAATACATTTGTAGCAAATATTATTTCATATACCATAATATTTTATGATTAGAGGAAACCAGTCATTTAATATATTCAGTAAATTTAAACATATTCAAATAAAATATCCTAGATAATTCTAAATAATTTATATTTTGATAAATGTGTTTTGATAAAAACAAGATCATATTATGTATATGTAATATTCAACTTGTAATTTTTCTAAGAAATAGAGACTTTAAAAAAGTTTTTATTTTGATACGAGCGATTCAAGGGAATTTTGTATATGTCAACATGACTGGAGTGCCATGCAAATTTCTACTTCTATATAAACAAATATGACAGTTCCCTTATTTCATGCAGCTTTGTTAGTGTATTTTCTAGAGTTTGTCAATAAGTCATATTTACATGTTGAAGAGATTTTCCGTGAAAGGCGTTTCTTGTATCACGACCAAGAAAACATTTGAACAAACTCGAGTATTTCGTTATATATTATTCTTAATCTTGTGGCTCATTGTTCGGTGTCTATTACTCTCTGTTGGTCTATTTATGCAACCTTAACCAAACATTTGATCTCTTGGAAATCTATTGTCGAAAGTGTTAATGTTATAACAATGACTGAAATTATTTATGGACTCACACTGTAGGGACTGTTTCATATATCAGGAGCTTTCAAACTTTTTGAAGGGGTAAATTCTTATGGTTTAAATTTAAAATTTTTAAAAGGTAAAAACAAGAGAGATACTTTGATTTTTAGAATCAATTACATTTTTTTTTATATTTGTATACATTTGTATGCTATTTATTATTAGTAAAATAAATTTGTTAATTATAAAACATTAATAAATATTTACATATCTGTGTGGGCAAACCTACATCAACCAGCAGTTTGTCAATTTATCTTTAAATATCATGCAAAGTACTCTATTTCTTTAAATTATGTTAAAAATCATCTCAAATCACTGGACCTTTTACGGCATATGTATTTATTTTTGTTATTTTAATGAAATTATAAATAGATTGAAATAGGATAGAGCGGATCTTAAAGATCCGCTGATATTTCAAAAACAAATAAAGTTAAGAATATTTCAACAAAAATATTTGACAGTAGATGGAAAAGGATGTATAGCCATTACCTTGATCCAAGAGTATTTTCCTTCGTTGTTAGTTTTTTTGGTTGTGAGCACTGTTGTTCAGTTCACATAACATTAATATAATTTTTAATTAAACGTTATTATAATCATTTTATAAAATTTATTCTTATTTTTAAGTTAAATTCAA